ATCAGTGAGTTGGAGAAGGAACTTCAAACCGTAAAAATCACACCAGTAAAAATTGTCAAAATGACAATGAAACACAAAAGACACGAACAAGACGACGACCAGAACTACCTCGTGTACTTCAAAAAAGATGTAGAACAAGGTGGAAATTTCCTGGAATTCCTCAGAAAAATCAAAATTGTCAGCAGTTTCAAAATTAAATGGGCTGACTACAAAAATAGACAAGCTGGACCATCTCAATGTTCGAAATGTCTGCAGTTTGGTCATGGACAAAACGGTTGTAACAAACCGTCCGTTTGCTTCAGATGCTCTGAGCAACATGACTCGAAAACGTGCCAGTACATATCGAAAGAGACCAACAAGGTTCCACTCGGAAAACTCAAATGTTTCTTCTGCGGTGAAAAACATACAGCAATTTTCACAGGTTGTAAAACCAGACAAGAAATAATTGAAAAATGGAAATCAAAATCACAAAATGGAAACAACCAAAATCAAAACAAAACAGCAGGCCATTATTCATATGGACAACGGAGAAACAATCCTCCAACACCGCATCGTCCTGAGAGATCAACCAGAAACGTCCAACATGCACCAAAACCTCAATGGAGAAAGGAGTATATGGAACCATCAACATCTGGTACACAAAAGCCTGTTCATCAAAAACAAGTTCCAGTCAACCACAAACCAAGGAACACAAATCCTCCTCCAAATCACAAACCCTCAAATCAGGGAAATAAAAATAACTTGAACAACCAACAAAACAATAAAGAAAGAGGAAAACATTGGAAAAAGAATCAAAGAAAAAAGCAAAACGAGCGCATTAATAACAATCAACATCAAAAACCAAAGCAAGTTGTTGAGCTTATGGACTCAGAAGACATCAGTGCAACAAGTCAGACCTCGAATGAAGTCTTCCCAGAACCTTCATTCAGTGTTGAGGTAGTGAATCGAAACATAACAACTAATCAACAAGCTCAAAGCACCAGCACAAGAGATAAAAACATCTCAGAAATAGAGGAATCAAAGTGCAAGTACCTTATCAGCGAGCTTCTCAAATTAATCGCCAAAAATCCAGAGTTCATCGACGAAATACTCCAAGCAATCGGCTCAAGTGCCAAAAACACCGCATACAATAATGGATTGTAGACAACAAAGTATCAACGTCCTCTACTGGAATGCTAACGGCCTCACTGACAAAATGTTAGCATTTCTCGACTACCTAAGCAAGCAAAACGTCGATGTTGCTTGCATCTCAGAAACATTCCTAAAACCAAACTCAAAAATTGACTCGCATCCAGACTACGTAATTCATCGATTGGATCGCGTGGATAGACCAAAGGGTGGTGTTGCAATCATCGTCAAAAGAAATCTAAAACATCAGCTTCAACCAAGCTACAACACAAAACTAATGGAATGCATTGGAATCAAAGTCTTCATCAATGACACGGATAGTTGTCACATCCTCTCAGTCTATCTCCCAGGAGGAAGCAAAGGAGGGGAAATAGATCTACATCTGAGAGATGACATAAACAAAATAACAAATCTGAGAGGAAATTACTACATCTGTGGAGACTTCAATGCAAAACATCGAGAATGGAACTGCAACGTTGCAAATAAATCAGGAAATATTCTTCAGGAAATGTCAGGAGAGTTCATGATCTACTTTCCTGACTCGCCAACGTACTACCCAGAAGATCGAAACAAATCAGTGTCAACAATTGACCTGATGCTCTCGAATTCCAACCTCGAAACAACAGAACTTCAATGCACAGAGGCAATGAGTGATCACTGCGCTGTGTATTTCCAAATCAAAACATCAAAAATCGACAGAACTGAAAATACAGTCTACAGATATGACTACAAAAACGCAAACTGGAAAAAGTTCAAAGCACAAATTTCACGCCGCATTGAAGACAACATTGGAGAAAATTCTTGCAATACAACAGATGAGATCGAGAATCACATTAAGATTCTCTCTGAACTCATCATGGAAGCGAGGAACTCAAGTGTAAAAATGAAAAAGATCAAGTTCGAATCAACTAAACTCACACCGGAGATTAAAGATCTAATCAACACAAAAAGGAGTCTTCGTCGAAGATGGCAGAGAAGCAGAGATAATCAACTCAAATCTGAATTGAATTATCTGCAGAGAGTCATCAATGAGAAAATTAAAGAACTCAAAAACAAAAACTGGAATAAGCGTCTCTCAGAGATTCAACCGTCAAACCAAACAGTTTGGAGAATAGCAAAATTTTGCAAAAAAGGTTCAAAAACAATGCCTCCATTGACAAATCTGGGTAAAACGTTCATCACCAACAAAGAAAAAGCCAGCGCACTCAGCGAGTATTTTCGTGAAGCTCACGAAAATCCTCTGGAACAAAACGATCCACAACATACACAGGAAGTAAACAACACAGTCAAAGAAGCATTGGAACAAGACAATGATGAGAATCCAGAACTAACAGATGTAAACGAAATCGCGAGCATCATAAGAAATCTGAAAAATCCAAAAGCTCCGGGACTAGATGAAGTCAACAACATACTCATCAAAAATCTTCCTGAAAAAGGTTTCGAATACTTGAAATTCATCATCAATTCGTGTCTGAAACTCAACCACTTCCCCAAAGTTTGGAAACATGCAAAAGTGATTCCTATTCCAAAACCTGGAAAACCAGCAAATGAGCTAAGCAGCTACAGGCCAATAAGTCTACTCAGCTCAATAAGCAAAATACTGGAGAGAGTATTACTGAATAGAATCAACGATCATCTTGAGGATAACAACATCATCCCAAACCAGCAGTGCGGCTTCCGGACTGGAAGATCAACATCTCACCAGCTCATCAAAGTGATCAAATCAGCAAAAGAAAACTTAAACAACAAAAAGTCAACAGGCATGATCTTCCTGGATGTAGAAAAAGCATTTGACAGAGTCTGGCATAACGGACTCTTGTACAAAATGCTCAAACTGAGATTTCCACTGCCACTTATAAAAACTGTAAGATCTTTCCTCAGTGAAAGATCTTTCGCAGTTTTTATTAAAGGTCAGTTCTCAGAAATCAAGGTAATCAAATTCGGAGTGCCACAAGGAGCAGTGCTTTCACCAACTCTCTACAACATCTTCACGTATGATGTTGTAAGAGAGACAACCAACAACATCGGTCTTTTCGCAGATGATACAGCACTGTATCATTCTGCAGAGAACTCGGCCGATATTGTGACACATCTACAGCACACAGGAAGAAAAGTTCAACAATACATGAACAAATGGAAGATCAACCTCAACAAACAGAAGACTCAAGTCTTATTCATCACAAACAGGCACTCCAGGCAACTACCAGGAAATAACATCAAATTTCTCAACGAAAACATCAAATGGGAAACAGAAGCTAAATATCTGGGAATGGTGATCGACAAGAGAGTGACATTAAAGCCGCATGTGGAGTATGTGACCAATAGGGCTCACACCGCATTAAGACAGCTTTATCCGCTCATCAGCAGGAACTCACAACTCGACGTACGAAACAAACTTCTCATCTACAAGCTAGCCATCAGACCAATATTCACATATGGTTGTCCAGCGTTTGGAAGCATGGCAAAAACCCATCTTCAAAAACTTCAAGTACTGCAAAACAAATTCTTGAGAATTGTTCTCAATAAAACAAGATATGAAAGGATCACCGATCTTCATACAGAAGCGAAAATACCGTCCATCGAAGACTACGTCGGAAAGTTGCAAGCGAACTTCAACAGTCGTCTTGCATCTCAAAACACCGAATAAATCAAATGAAATACAAAAGAAAGTAAAATCCGTAAATGAAATCAAAATTAAGAGACAAAAGGCAAATTGAATGCCTGAAACCTTAAAACAAAAAGCAACAAAATGTATAGAAACTTTGTACATACTTAAATTTAAATGTAAATAAATAAAAAGTTTAATTTAAAAAAAAAAAAAAAGTTACTTTTACCGAAGTTATGTTTAAATAAGTTGAGTTTTGGCATGAAGGTCTGTTCCTGAATAGTGAAGATTGATATGGATGGGAAAAGAAGGTTGTGGGTCATACACGTATCATTGAATCCACCTCAATATTAATTGAAAATAGAAATTTAAATTATCCCTAATTACTGCGTAACCCAAGATATCTCAAAGTCACGCATATGTTCAAGGATAACGATTAAAGAAGAATTTTAAAAATATTATAATACTCTTTAGTTTTCTAGTTTCTACTGCTTAAGCGTACACTCTTTTTAAGCTTTTGAAATATTTACAGGGTTTTAAGCCTCTTTTTTCATAAAGCTCGAATGAACATTTCTTCGAAAAACTACTTTAAAGCTAAACTCAACTTATTTTGATCTTAAAAATACAAGTTTTACTTCATTCTTTTGAGAGCTCACAAAATTCAGATGGAACCTTTTAAATTCACTTTTGAAAAAAGAAGAACATTGAACTGGTTATAATGAAGTCAAAAGTAACTCAAAGGTAGAGAATGGAAAAGAAGATATCAAGAAGAAATTGAGATCAAAGAAAAATTCATAAATTTATGGAAAATTTTCTCCCTTTTGTGCCTTATAGATTTAAGTCTATTGATGAAGCAAAGGAAATTGTAAAATTGTGTTTTCTTTCATGCTCTGTGTACCTTTTAAAAGAAAAGAACATTGGGATTGAAAATACAATAATCCCACATAAACATAAGCTTTGTTTTACTCAAAATATCCTTTAACTTGACATTCACAGAAGGTGATTTGTTGGTTATAAAAATTTGGGTCTGTTCTTGTTAAAATCATAAACTCCCACTAGTGAAAACTTAACATTATTATGTTAATTGATTTTTTTTATTTTCATTTTTTAATCTAAAATCTCTCCCACAAAGTATAGTCTCATTCATCATCAGCCGTTTCGTAACTTAGTCTCTTTACATTTTATGCATTTTAAGCCAATTATTTTTCCCCACGAGCTTCATATAAAACTTTTCAAATTCATTACCAGAAATACATAAAATGCTTACCTCATGGGCTTGAACAATGCATGAACATCATTTGGATATTCTATAATCAGCTTAAGTTGTGTTCCACCTTCCTTTTGAACTGAAAATAAAGATTTACGCATTTGAAAAAATTTTTTTTGATTAAAATGATTGAAGGGAGAATCACTGACTCGTTCCTATAATTGCAGATTGGAAACTGATATTTTTGGCAACAAACTTTTCAATGTATTAAATCATTTGTGGAGTTTTGAAATTATTGCTGTAGTTTTTTTAATGAATAATTTAACGAAATAAAACATTTTCAACTTATGTGAACTAGCTATAGAAGCTAGCTGTCGCAAAAATAGATTCTAGAAAAAAATTGCAAAAAAATCTAAGTTGAATTTCTAATTTTCATCTAATTTTACTTTGATTTAATTTACAGTCAGTTAAAACTGTTGACAAACCATCATTCATGTTTGTAACCCACGTCAATAGAACGAGACGAAAAAAGTTTATAAAATTAGCAGAGACCGTTGTTTCATTTGCTAGATTAATTAACAAACTTTATATTTGTGATAGCATTTTGTTTTTGCTTGTTTTCTAGCGGTTTAAGTGACTTTTTGAATAAATTAATTCAAAACTGAGATTCTATTTGAGTACTAACCAATATGTACGATGGGTTGTTTAATCATATCCAGCATCAATGCTTGCACAGTTTTATCGTTCTCTGGATACATTTCTTTTTTGGTGATTGAGAGTTGGAAGCGCTCCAAATTTGTTGCATTTTTGCTGAAATGAGAGAAAAAGAAGGAGAAATGAAAATCTAATTGCATTAGAGCGACTAACTTGTTGCGTATTAAATTATCTAGAAAGAAGAAAAAAATAATCTCGAATGAAACAATAGACAGAGATTTTTCATTTTATGCACAAAGGCAAGCTGTTGTGTCTACTGCTGATGCATTCTTTTCTTCTTTTATATTATAAAAATACTTCGTCATGAATAATTTAGTCAGTCCTATCAGTACAACAGTACTGACGAAAATTTCAACATTCATATTTTCAAGTATATATGTATAAACACAAAAATGCAAGCTTCAAACGTACAGTACATTTGAGGAAGTTACAAATTAGGGACAACCATTCATGCAGCAATATACGATTTTTTATTTTTTTGCTATCGCAAGCACAATTTGCATAAAATGATGACTTTGCTGCGATGCAGTTGCTTTGTATTACAAATTTATGTAAAATATGATAAAGTATTGACATGCATACTGTTGTGTTAAGCATCAGTAATGGTAAAATATTTGATAGTCGATAATTCAATAAAACCATGATTTTTTGATTTCTTTCCCGAACATACAAAGAGCATGCTCAGAAAAGTGAGCATATAAGTGAGTCTACTCAAAAATTATACTCATGCAAGTTCATTCAACTGAGCATGCTCAGGAGTTCATTACGAATGTACTCACTTTATTTTTTTTACAAAAACTTTATAAGCTCACGTGAGTGCATTCAATAAGTATACTCTTGAGAATATTAAGAACATACTCATGTGAATTCACTCATATGAGTTCACTTACTGAATGTACTCATGAGCATATAATGAGCAAACTCACTTCTGTGTGACACAATTTTTTTTATATTCTCATATGAGTGCACTTACTGAATGTACTCATGAGCATATAATGAGCAAACTCACTTCTGTGTCACACAATTTTTTTTATATTCTCATATGAGTGCACTTACTGAATGTACTCATGAGCATATAATGAGCAAACTCACTTCTGTGTCACACAATTTTTTTTATATTCTCATATGAGTGCACTTACTGAATGTACTCATGAGCATATAATGATCAAACTCACTTCTGTGTCACACAATTTTTTTTATATTCTCATATGAGTGCACTTACTGAATGTACTCATGAGCATATAATGAGCAAACTCACTTCTGTGTCACACAATTTTTTTTATATTCTCATATGAGTGCACTTACTGAATGTACTCATGAGCATATAATGAGCAAACTCACTTCTGTGTCACACAATTTTTTTTATATTCTCATATGAGTGCACTTACTGAGTTTATTCAAGAGCAAATTGTGTACCTTTTTTAAAAAATGTCAGATTAATCGAAAACGTTAAAATAATGATTTTTTAAGGAAGCTGACGTTTTTTAAAAATGTCAGCTAAATCGAAAACGTTAAAATAATGATTTTTTAAAATTGGTGCTTAATAAGATCCAAACTTCAAAGAACTTAGTTCGCCTGTAAAAATATAATAATCTAAGTATGTATGTGTTATGCCATATATAAATTATTATATATTTACAGACAATAGCTCCAAGGAAAAGTGTGAGATGACAGAAGTTAAGCAACGCAGAAGATGTTTCAACAAGGATGGGTGACCAGATTTATATGTTTCATTCTTAGTATTTCAGATAAAATATTAATAATAATTTCTAACTCCTTCAAAATTATTCACAGAAATAAACGAAACAGTACTTAATTTCAGCTAACCTATAATACTCAAATTTAGCTTAATTAATTTTTTGAATTTTGCAACTTCACTTGAGTGCACTCATGAGTGTGCTCAGATGAGTATATACTCATAAATATACTCACTAAGTATATATTCTTTGAGTACGTTTATGAGTATGTACTCTTTGAGAATATTTATAAGTATGTACTTTTTGAGAATGTTCATGAGTATATTCAATAAAAATGTTACATGAGAAAAATGTTGCATGTGACATGTTGCCTTCTCATTTGAGTATGCTCATGAGTTTACTCAATGAGCTTAATACATGTCACATAGGAATGTGCTCACTGAGCATGCTCAAGAAGGTACCGTAAGCGCATCACTGAAATGTATGAAAATGAGCACATTCTCACAAAGGCTAATAGGCTCACAAATAATGTGCTCTGAGCATGCTCATTGTATGTTCGGGTTTTTTCTGAATTTTAAATATTTTTTAAATGTCAATTGTAATGAAATATTTCCATCAAACTTATTGAATGGAAGTTTTATGAACTAAAACAAATCAAAATTCTTTAGTTTATTCAAAGCACAGTTTTTTCAAGGAGCACTATTAATTGTGTAAATTGTCATGTTGGACAAATTTTCTACATTTGTAAAAACCGAAATCATCTTTCAGTTCCTTGTACAGAATAGTAAAAATGATGTTAAACATGGTGATAAAAATATGACAATAGCTTTTATATGAGACATTTTCAGATCAAGGAAAAGTTTTATATTTTTTGATAAGATTAAAACTTTTCGACAATTTTTTTATGCATTCTTTCAATTGAATCGCATTAAAAGTTAACAATCGTCGAAACTTTCAATCCCGGAAGCAATCAGGAAATCATTAAATCTACCAGAAAATTTTTCTCATAATGCCCTCGATCCTTCCCGGCTCAAATAAAATGTCATAAAATTTCAAATTTCTTTAATTTCCTGTAAAGGAATAAAGTCTAATCTACTTTAGAAGTAAATAAAATTTGCCAATAACCACCAATAACTCAATTTTGAAATTTATTTAACTCTATCATTCAATATAGATTTATCTTCTATATTCCATTAAGCAGTTAGTATAACTTCCAAGTCATCAATTCACATCGTATAAATTTATTTATATATGTGCTTTGAGTCACTCAGAAACAGACACAGAAAGAAATGCTCAACTCATGTTGTTATCGCAAAATGAAATAATAAATTAAATTTAAATTGATTGACGTATTACATGATAACGCTATAAATGAGATTGTTATCTTTACACATTCAGTTAACTAATTCCATTTAATGGATGACAAAATGCCAAAGCTAGAAAAAGATTTTTCCCAAAAGAGCTTGTAAGGAACAATATGAAGACAAATAAAGGCAGAACAAAACCACACGAAGTAGATGTCGAAGGGAATTTCTCCCGAATTTAGTTTTTTTATTACATTTTCTACTTCTACTTCTACTTTTCTGTGTTTTGATGATGGGTTAAACATGTCACAAAATTCCATTCTCTGAGGGCAAGAAAAAAGGCAAAAAAAATATACTTGGTGGTAAGTGGTTATTGTGGCTGATTCCTCGCTTTGACATTCCAAACATGAAACTTTTAATTGACATAAATTATAATGCTCATTTCTTTGTTGTACGAAAAGCTTTGGCAAGTAAACCAATAAATGTGAAATGTACTGACAGTAAGATAAGAATACTCTCCTGAATCAAAAGTTTTCTTTTACTGCTGATTGTTGAATAAACTTTTTTTCTTCAAAAAGAGTGCAGTAAGATGAAAACTTACTAAAGTACATTCTACGTGCAAATGTACACAGCATAGTGTATTGGTTAGATTGGAATTAAAAAATAAAGTCGACTATTTTATAACGCATTTATCAGCACAAGACTCTTCCATCCATGTCACTTGTGGTTTAGTTTGAATTGAAAGTTAAAAGTTTTAAACTGCAAACTTCCCTTGAACATAATTTATGTGCCTTTTTCCTTGATGAATGCAGCAAACTTGTTCTTAATTTTGAGATAAAAATAGATTGCAGAAGGTAGATGAGCTAGGCTCTTATTTAAACTTTCCATCTGAACCAAACAAGCTAAATAGCTACAATCCTAATAATGTGAATTTAAAAAAAAAATTGCTGACATAAACATTAAGTTTCAATTTGTCTCTTGATCTCCATTAAAATCTATCAAAATCTTAAGCATCGACCAATAAATCTGAACAAATTATTCCAAAGGACTTAAATCAATATTTAGTACATCCATATATACCCTCAACACTTGTGAAATCGATTAGCATCATGAGACTTGGTATGTAAAAGTTTTCATTCCTTCTCCTTCATCTACGTTTTAACTACTTAAATGGCATGGAAAAAGAGCCATCGCTTGTCGTTTTCCATTCTAGAAAAGTTAAAATAAAAAACAGTATAAAAAGAAAAAACAAAACTTTTTCTCATTCTCTCGGCTTTAATTTTTGATGTCGGTTTTCTGTGCCAGACTAACAAGCATGTAAGCGTCATGTGTTTAAAGTTAATGAACAGGAAATTGCCATGATATCGATGGAGGTTTTTTGTAGCACAAGATGGAGCACATGAATTTATCTTCTAAGGATTAAATTGCTTCTTTGCGGTTACAAACAGCTTTTGGGCGATTCCATGGGTAAATGAAACTGAAAATTTTTTTTTCAAAATATTTTTTAGCTTTTTCTGCTTAAATATACATATTTCAACATATCTTTTCACTAAATAAGACTTATTATTCATCAATTCATGTGTTATTAGCATTTAATCGTCTTAATTATGCTGCATTTTGACAAAAATATGTAATATGTTTTGCAATAATCGGTTGAAAGTTGACCGATTAAGTGGTGTTTTCCCCAATTTTCTCCTTAATTACAGTAGTAAGACATACAAATAAGATATTGTTATAAAGCACAGGCGATTTCACGTGTGTTTATCATAGATTTGTAACACAACAATGGATATTCAAAGAAATATTGATAAAAATTTAAAAATCAATTTTTTGTAAAGTTGACCGATTAAGTTTGGTTTTTTTAAAATATCTTTTGTCAGACAGATTTAACTAAAAGATTATGCACTAAATTACATAAAAACCATAATAATAAATAAAATAAATCTTAAATATGGCGTTAAATGAAGTTAATTGAGGAAATATTTACAAAAAATTGAGTTGAGAAAAAAAAATTCACTCATGGAATCGCCCTTTTGTAGCACTAGAATAATATTTCCAGAAAAACTTTTTCATTCTCAGCAAAGCATTAAAGTGTGAGAGAGAAATGTAATTAATTTAATGGGTTGTTTTTGAGAAGTTAAATCTTCAAATTCAGCGAAATTGTAACTCTTGAAATAAATTTATGATATCGTTCCTAATGAGTAGCTTGATTCTTCTTTTTTCATTTGTTATTTTTAACCACTTGTTTGAAAACAAGATTCTCTTTGAACCTTTTTGCAAAGTAAATGAAGTTTTCAAGTTTGGGGATTAATTTAGTCAAACATTTGTAAGCGTGAATTTCACGCTGAATTAAAAATTATTTGGAAAGAAAAATATTTTTTAAAATACTATAAAAAAAACTTTTTCAAAAAAAGCACGCTTTTAATTCCGATTACAGTGCACTAAAAAGGAGAAAATAATTTTTTTCTAAGCACTCAAATATGATACAAAATTTTATGACTAAACATAAAAGCGTGGGGCGTTCTTGCATATGTCACTAAATCTTGAATTTGTGAACGATCTCAAAATGTTAAAAGGTCTTTCGTTTACAGAAGTTGCATCAAAAAATGAAAAATTTCAATATAGTGTGAATAAATTATAGAAAATCTAGAGCAGGTTTAAATTGAACGCCCCACGCTTTTATTTTTAGTCATAAAATTTTGTATCATATTTGAGTGCTTAGAAAAAAATTATTTTCTCCTTTTTAGTGCACTGTAATCGGAATTAAAAGCGTGCTTTTTTTGAAAAAGTTTTTTTTATAGTATTTTATTTTCTACTTTTTAGTCGTGTTAAATGTATGAATCGATATTATTTCCAAAATTTGGAGTTTTTGTTTTATTACAACACTGAATTTATATGACTTAATGAGTAGGTTACAGTTTTAAGATTACAGGAAGTTTTAGAATCCACTTCGTTTCACTTCAATCCGTTCAACTGTTCATAGATTACCATTTTTTAATGGATAATTAGTAAAGAATGTCAAAATTCTTCATTCGTTTTAAATTATTTAAGTCATACCTGAAAACACATAAAACTCTTTTAAAAATGTCCTAACTTCAATTATAGATTTTGTGTTTATCCGGACCATTCCTACTACATAACGTGTGGATTCTTTACATAAAGATGCAAATCACATATATATGTGCGTTGCATATAACCGATTTTCAAATTTAAATGCAATGAATGTCATTTATATGTTATGCAAAAATACGTCATGCCGTTAAAAGAGAAGTCAATTTAATTAAATTGGTGAAGTGTTATAAATAATATAATACATTTAAAACAGCATAAATTTATGTTTAAACTATGTGTGCTAAATGCACATCTCATATTAATAGTTATTTGCATTAATCCGCAACGGACTTATGCTTAACGGTTTTTTTGAAAATTCAAATTTTCACTTACGAATATTCATGAAAAAATTACATGTCAATTTTTTTGTCTTACCAGAATATCTTTAGCTGCTCAAAATTATAGTATAATTAATAATTAGTAATATTAATTAAACTATAATGAATCTTATAAATGACTGTTGAGTATTTCAAGTGTAATATTTTAATACAAATCAAAATTTTATATCATTGACATTGGATTTTTTCCCATATAAAAAAGTTTTACTTAAATTGTACTATAATTAAGCATTTTTGTAGTTCCAAAGTGTTAAAATATTGTATTGTCACCAGAAATACGTGTGTATACAAAATTTGAGCACGATTGGAGCAATAAAAGTGGTCAAAAAATCGATTGCAAGATTTGACTCAGACAAACAGTGTGAGTTAAATAAAAGCGTGTAAAAAAACATACAATTTTAAAACCTTCAAAATTTCATAATAAATGGCAAAAAAGAAATATTAATGCTTTACTATTGAATTATTAAATCAAACTTGTTAATATCCCATGCGGGATTCGAACCCGCGACTTTTGGATTACTTCAATGATAATTAGAAGTCCAACGCGCTAGCCACTGCGCCAATGGGACACAACTATTGAGAATAAAAAATGACAAATTTGAATTATAATAAACTGTTTATAAATTCATATACTTCACAAGATGAAAAATTAGAAATTTTTGTTGAAATGTCTCAATAAATTAAATAGACTCACTTATTTAAAGACTTAACAAAACTTTTATCAATTTTTTGATCTCATATTAAGATTCTTGAACAGACCTCTTTAACATTAATTAAGCAAGGTTATTAGACATTCCATTAAGCAAAATTATATCACATCAATTTTCGTTAAATGAAAAGAAAAATATTAGCTTAATGTTTTTGTTGTATATAAGCTGGTAAGAAGCTTGTTCTTGTCTTTATGACATTTTCAAAGGAAAATGAAAAAGAAAAACAAAGAAAAGGTTGTGACAAATTTCTTTTTTTTGTGCCTTTCTTTTTTCGTTCTCTAGTTCTTCTAAAGTAGGTACTTACAATATATTTCAATCTACATAAACAGAACACAAAGTGAGAAAAAGTTTTTCGTGCTGTTTATTCTTGTTATGAATTTAATTTGTGTAATGGATGAGGTTATAATATTACGGATTTTCTCTAATTTGTATTTATCATTTAGACGTCTCTGAATTTTTTTTTTGTGGAACCATTTTTTTCACTGTTTCTATTATTTTGTTATCATTCTTCTCATCCTTATGTTATTTGCTTAAATGAAAGTGAATTCTTCAGAATTGCTAATTTTGGCATGTTTTGCTTTTTCAAGCTTTTTAGCGCATTTTTGAAAACTTGTTTTCGAAAAGGGAGCTCAATAATACACTTTGTTCGTTCGTTCGTTCGTTCGTTCGGGCAAGCATAAAAACTTTGCAACCAGACATCGTAGAGAGCTCGGATTTGTTTTATTAGCTCCGTTACTATTGTTTATTGTCCGATCGAACAGTTAAAAGTCTTCAAGCAGTGTATTTATGCTATAATTAATGAGTTTTTGTTTTGTTTTCAGTGTAACCTGCTCAAATTTTGTTTTACCTCTATAAATTCAAATTTACCTCTATAATTTCAAATTTTTTCTAGCCGTTGTAAAATTTCAAATTTTAAAAAACCGTTAAATGATAAACTTTTTCTATATGGAAATTCATTGCAGCAAATTATTAATTATAATCAAATACTGATCGCTTCGTCAAAAATGCGCTGAAGTCCCTCGATCAATAACACGAGGACTTTTGTAATTTTTTTTTTGTCGAAATAATTGAATATTAAATGTAAAAGTTCTAAAATTAGAAGCTCGTTCTAGGAGCAAAGTTCTGAACAAGAGCATCTGAATATTTATTAATTTGAGAAAAACTTTTGGTAAGCTTTGGGCTGTCATTTAATGATTTTAATAACATGAATTGCTATAAGCTTAAATTTAGCTTCATTCTTGGAATTGATTTCAAAAAATAAACTTGAGAAAAAATTTCTTAAATACAAGTTTTATGCAGAGCTCAAAGTAGATAGGTTTTGAGTCGACTCTAGTTGACTCGACTCGACTCAACTTTTCTCGAATCGACTTCAAGCTATGATTTTATGCAAATACACGACGAATATGAGATATTACTAAATTCTGTCTGAAATTAAGAATAAGTTTTCATTCTTCAGCCAGCTTAAAGCGCCATCAAATTGATGAGTAAGGTCAGCAAAGTGAGCAAGTTATAGATCTTGTATGTGACAAGCAAAACTTTGTCTTGTCAATTAGAAGTTTTGAAGCTTTAAATTGAAAGAAAATTGACTTAAAATATAAAGTATCAAATTATGTGCAGTCATTGACATAAATTGGTTTAAATTTTTTGTTTGTGATTTTATTTCTTAATTTCTGGCAACTATACTCGAATTGAAGTTTACTGATTTACTTGAAAATATAATATTTAAACGAAGTAATTTTAATTAAATTATTGAAAAAAAATGCACCCACCTCTGTTTAACTTCAAGCAGTTCTCCTATACTCGGATTGAGATCATCTGTTATGTCATTTTTGATGATAACCTTATCGTAATTTGTAGGTGTTTTACTATCAACATGACCGAGAAGAATTGATATTAGGTCAACATATTTATCATTCATTGTTGGAGGCACTGGCACACGCTCTTGTCCAGATGACGACACATCGTTTCGACCGTTGAACGGCGGCTTAAGTGTCGTTACTTCTCTTGATCCTGAATTATTGCTATAAATGTAGAAAAAAAATATGATGAAAATATTTTAAATGAAATCTTCATAAACGTGATTAAAAATGACATTTTTCTCCTTCATAATTCAGTCGCAATCTCGCCCTACAGTAATTTACACTTTATCATGCTTCATATTTCCTACACATCACAAAACATTTTGTTTTACAGCAAGGCTAACTTTTTGGTTTCAAGAGAGAGATTGTGATGAGATATGAGATATCCAAATCAGTCAGTGTATGTGAAATATGATGTCATGATAAAATTTATGCTGTACAATATCTTCATCCTTAGTTTTACAATCCTTTATGGACATTTAAAATGTTATGTTACTACAGCCATAACTTATGTTAACAATGCACTTTCGTGCCATTAAGTTTAATTCTTTAAATTAATAAAAATGGTTTAAAGAAGATGAGAATATTATGAGGAAGCATATTTGTACAATTCGTATATCGTTGTCATATTCCATATACAAATTATTTATTCAACCATTTTTCCTTCGTTTTATCTCTCGTTAAATAATTATTATTGTTTCTGCTCGTATGACTGACGTATGTGCGAATGTTCACATTAATTTTGTGAGTCTGTTCACGCTTTGTTTGCATTTCTCTTATTTTTCAAGAGAAGTAAAAAAAACGTTGAAGCACATGTTACACTAATTTTTATTACGAAAAAGCGTAATGCAATACATTTATGTGATTTGAAAATTCTAATTTTTCTTTAATAGCTAGAAAAATAATCATTTGAAGATTTACATGATTTTAAGATGTCAGAAAATATGTTTAAGAAATGCCTGTCATCATTAGCAGAAATTTCTTTTATTTTACAATAATTAACTTTAAGACTCAATTTGTTCAGGCATGTAGCCAGAAAGTGCTTCAAATTACTGTAAATAATTTCTATCAAAACTTTCATCATTTAAGCAATTAACTAAACTAAAAGACAATCCAACCAAAAAAATTTGGTTACAAGAGATGGGTCAACTTAATATTAAACAACCAGAAGCATAAAAATTCCAAACATTTTAATTTACACTTTCCTTTTGGGATGGAGAGACCAAATAAATCAAGGGTAAACCTCAACATAATTAAACATATTATCAGATAAAGAAGAAAGAAGGAACAAAACCAGAAGAATGAATTAAAATTATTAATTTTATTAACTTGGGAATCTCCGAAATCTCAAAAAAAATTTTAGCGTAATTAATTTAACTCATGTTGGCATTATGTCATGAGTTTATATTTATTTTGCTACAGAACTTTATGGACACGTGTGAAATTCATCCAGTGACATTTAAAAGATCATTTCCCTAGCGAGACTAACTAGCAAATTGCTAGTCTTTCTATTTTACTACATGCAATTTTCTAGTAATTATTAAAACAACTTACTGTTAGAAAATTACATTCGCTATTTACTAGCAAATTACTAGCAATTTACCATGTAAAATGTTTGATAAAATCTTCTTAAGTTCGAATCCTACGAAAAATCATCAAAAAAAGAATTTTTTGCGTCAAAAAAAATTTTGTTCTAAATTTGGCATTTGCCATATACTGCACAAGAGCGCGCAGAAATCACCTTTATATGGTCGATCCAAATTTAAATGTGACTTTCAAATAATTATTTATCTTCCTCAGGTTTGCGTGCGAGTCATGGGTGTTTATCAGTATTCGACTTAATTAAATTAAGTCTTTTGCTTTTATTCATAGTGTTAGTGTACTTTAATTAACTTTAATTAAGTACACACTAATACTTTTACAATAATTTACACAAATAAGAAAAATCATAAGAACACGTGGAAATCAACGGTTATATTCATATAAATTTTTTCCAAATTTGCTAGTAAATTACTAGCAGTGTTGCAAATGTAGATGTCTACACTAGATGAAGAATGTAGATTCTTCAATAGTTTTTGTCTAGCTAAGAACCTTTCTTCATAAAGATCGATTCTACATGAAGATAGAAAATCTAATCTACACAAAGATTATTTCTACATAAAGATTCTGTCTACATAAAGATTCGATGTAGATGTCTACAATTCTACATTTTTTCCAGGTCTACATCAGAGAACAATGTAGAATTGTAGACATCTACATCGAATCTTTATGTAGACAGATTCTTTATGTAGAAATAATCTTTGTGTAGATTAGATTTTCTATCTTTATATAGAATCGATCTTTATGAAGAAATTTGTGTCTCAGAATTTATCTGATTCAGACAAATGGCCAGAATGCAACACTGATTACTAGTTAAATTGTAAGTGAATTGACTAGTCAATTAGCAAGTGAAAATGCGGGTCTTTGGCGATGATTTGAACTTGGATTTTGACTAGTAAATAGCAAGTAGCAAATGGAAAGTTATCTAGTGAATTACTAGGAAATTACTAGTAAATTTCTGCTAGGGTTTGACTTTCCAAAATTGATCCAAATTTTTAAAAATTATGTATTTTGGAATGGACAATCTTATTCATGGCTTAGCTAAACACAATTTAACAAGTCAAAAATCAAATAAATTTGAATTGTGTTATTTTAATAAATACTATAGATTTTATGGAATATTAAGAAAGATGCGCTTAATTTGTTGAACCATGCAAAATTTCAAGCTTATTTTCTTTAACTCAATTTACGATAAAAATAAACAGAACAAAAGAACAACGGTTGTTCTCAATAATTGAGAAAAAAGGGATTTTTGTATCGCTCTAGAAAAACTCATAAATTATGCAAGAAATTATAAAATTTTATTTAAAAAAAATACGAAAAATGTACACAAAAATGTACTTCCATTCCCCAAATGCAAAGTTTTTTTTTACTCTTCTCTAAACTCAAAACTTCTCTGTTTCGACTCATTTTTTCACACCAACTTTTCAACAATATGGAATATAAAAATTTAAAAGTGTAAAAATGTGTTTGAGAAAAGCCAACTAGACAAGAATAAGTAACCTTGGATACAAAATGGAGAATTCGGTGATTGTGTTCGGATGTAGAATGAGTGCTTAATGAGAATATTTGAAAACTTTAATATGTTTGAAAATTTAAGTGCTTATATAAATTTGCATCGTTGAAATGTTTGCCTAGACTTTACTATATTTATTATATTTTAATAGTTAAAATATTGCTAAAAGCTATTAATTAATAGAAATATAAATTTAGAATAGATAGAATTAGATGTAGGGTTCGCTATACACGAAAAAGCACTGCGATCATAGATCTGTTGTACCATATAAATTAAATATAAATTTAAGTAAAATGTTATAGATTAATAGGCAAACACCTTTTTGAAAAACTGATTAAGCTTGACACTTTGATGATTTATAGACTTTTAGGAGATAAAACCACAAAAAAAAAAATTTGGAAAGACTTTAATGAAAATTAATTCTAAGAAATTAAATGTTTTTGAAAAATATGAAATTTGAAAGCTTTAAAATATTATTTTAAATTTAAAAAATTAATACAGTCATATGAGAATGTTTTGAAATTATTAACATTATTTAATGAATCAGATTATCAATACAAAAGTTGATTGTATCATGATTAGGCCACTATGTCACAAGAATAAGTAGTTGTTCTTGATAACATCGTGAATAAAAGTTTTTAATCATCGTTTTGTCAAAAAAAAAACTGAGCATTCAAATAAAATAAAAATGTTATCTTTCCTTGCATGAAACTATAAATTTTCATTCGAAAGTCCCTCCTCTAAACTTTATTCATACTTTTCGCTTATTCCATTCAATACATTCTACAACAATTTTGATAAAGTGCAAAAAAAATCTAGAAAAAGTTTCACACAAAAAATTCTCGTTCATAGTAAAACAGCAATGCTGATGATTTATAACTTAATTTAAACGAAAATGAACAAAATAAAATTAAAGCAAAAATAAAAATATTTATATGGACCTGTAAAAACAAGGAGAAACAACAAAGCAAAATGAACAATGTAATTTTTCAGTCAACAAAAAGAAGGAAAATGAAAATTAATCCACATAGTGATGAAGAAGGAACAGTGTTGTGCTTTACAGTTACTTCAATATAATAAAAATCTTTATTAACAACAGTTTCATTTTTATATAATGTGTGACCAATGATTTTATGTAGTTAAATATACGAAAGAGAATTTATTGTTAAAGCCAATCTAGTTGTACAGATTTTCAAAGAACTTTTATGCCTTTATTACTTTCTTTACATTTTAATTTACATTTCTTTGATTTATTTCACCTTGCATAAAAACAATGAGCACGAATGACTAAAGGAGTTGAATAATTTATGCCATTACCTTTGCCTCAATGTTCATTCTAACAATTTCTCTCAAATGCACATGTAGGAAAAATTTGTATTTTAAAAGGGCAATTAAAGACAGAAAGTAATGCACAGTCTGAAAGATTTTTGCATGGTTCAGCAGAAATAGTTTAAATGTTTAGGTGCAATTTATTAAACAGAGCGCGGTTCTGTTTATTGTCACATATGAATGACATTGATTAATCATTGGAAAATATTTTTACTTCCACTAAGAAATAATGATGACATAAATAATCATTAGACGATGAAAATTTAAAGAAGTTTCATACTTTATTTATTTTCTGATGCAGCAAATCTCTCCTAATTTTTGTTTAAAATCTTCAGATGCAATAAAAAACGTTAAGCATTTAAATTGAACACCATACCTTATTTAAAGTGCACATATACGAAGTTAAGCTGTTTGTACATGTGGTTTTTATCCAGATCCACAAAAGTTGAAAAATGTGAGGTTTATTCAATAATTAAAAGTTTCAATTTTAAACTCAAAATTAAGCTTACACTTTTATTATCTTAAGACAGAGTTCAAAGGAGACTAGGATTTTGTATAAAAATGACATCACAAGTTGACTCCAATTCATATGAACTGTGAGCTCTGAAATAGAGTTTGCTACTTAGAAAAGGATCTTGAACTGGAACTGGAACTTTTTAATTATGAAGAATGTCATTTAGCGATGTTAAAATTATCTACAGCTCAATTGACATCCGTTCTATTTATCTTAAATCTTAAAGCCAATTACTTCCTTATATCATCTCCTTTCATTTAAAGTAATTGAATTTACGATCATACAAGAAGTCGAGACTTACATGGTGAGATGCCAACACTTAGAGGTTAATGAAAGGAACGAGAAATATAATATCTCAATAATTTACAGGGTGTAATAATAAAACTATTAAAGTCATGAGCTTTTAATAACATTGAATTATAAGATAATAAATTGAGTTAAAAGTAGAATGAGACGAGGAAGAAAAATGTGCAGCATTACTGTATTGTGTACGAACACAATGAAAGCTAAAATATAAAATTTATTAATCATCACAACACTCACCGCTTCTCTAAGTATTTTCTTTGAAATTCCTTAAACACACCAGTCTTATCTTCATCTTGTTTGTATTTATAACGTCCATGGTATCCTGTTGAAGGAAAACTGGCTTTTGAAACTCCTAGGTCCATTTGTAAGTCTATCACAAGGAGTAGGGTGAAGAGGACTAGCGCCACCCCTAAGCCAACAGCAAGACGCTCTTTTAACTTCATTGAACGTATTAAATACATTTTATTATCACTAATATTATTAAAATAATTATTACACTTTGCCACTATCGTTTGAAAATAGCCAAGAAAAAAGATAAATAATATATTAATGGAAACTGATGACGTCGCGATTGGCACATGAATTAGTTTACTATTACTATTCCTTTTATCATTCACCACACTTGCAATATCATCACTTTTATGTGAATTAAATTTACGATTGACACGTCTCACCCGTACAATATATTCACCATCACTAAACGATTGATTGATGCAATTTATTTTATATAGAGAATTTCTCGAATTGATGTATGCTATGCGCTTATCACTAACAGAATGATCATCACAATTATTATTGTGAGTCGACGTGGGCCAAAATGTTGTCTGCTCAGCAGCTTCAGCACTTGTAGCAAGCTTTACACAGTTGTTGTTGTCACGTATATGATGACGATGTCGATCGTCACTTGAAAATAATTTTCTACTGCTCGCGTTGCTTTTTTGTCTTACAATGTGAAAATATTCTTTCGTATCAGCATTTCTTAAATAGCTATTGCATTTATTAGCTTTTTTATGTAATTTATAGCACTTTGTTGTGTTACTGTTGTTATTTTTGCTGCAACCTTTAAGCTTATTATCAATAAATGAATTTTTATCAGCACGTTCTTGAGAATATGTGTTTAAATCATTTAAGGGATTTGTCGTTAAGGTTGATATTAAATCGTTACTTTTTAAATTACTTAAATCAGTATATTGAATACTTTTAATATGATTGAATGGATGAGGATGATGGGATTCTGCAACTGTTGAAAAACTAATTACATTGTTGCATGCAGTCGCTTCTGTTGATTGCTCTTTTCCCTTAATTGCATACAATGAGCATTCAATTGTTTCATCTGCAATATCATTGCATTTTATGTCATCAGCTGATGATAATAATAAGTCTTCCTCTTTGACTGTAGAGTTTAAATTAAAATCAATAGACCTGAAATGAACAAATGATAGGGATCGAATTAATGATAAAGCAAAAAAATAGTTTTAAAATTACATGAAACTAGTAATAAGCTGCTTAGCCGCTACAATAATGAATAATTGTTAAACAATTAATTTTAATAATATGATTTAAGCTTCAGAAATGCACATATGCATCATTAGCAGAGCAAGGTCAATCAGATTCAAAACATAGTTATTTATATTTTTAATATTCATCAAACTAGACGAGATGTCTGTTATTTAAAAATCTCAAAACATAATGGAACATCATAAACGTAGCCAAAAGAGAAAAAACAGCTATGATGAGCATGATATGTTAATGGATTTCCAATAGATTTGAATAAACTTCAGTTCTAGTTGAATTTCATTTCTAACAGGAATAATTAAGAAATATTCAGTCTGGTAATAATTGATCTCATTCCTTTATGAACTTAATTGATTTCTTGTTCAAGCCCAACAGTTAATTTTATGTTCTTTTTTGACAAGGCTTGTACAACTTTAAACGAAACGGAAGCTCTTTTGTTGAGAAATGCTATTTATTCCGAAGTCTGAAACTCAGTTCTATTTGTGGTATTATTTCATCATTTCTGCCATTTGTACACGTGGGCTTCAAAAAAAATTAATATCTTTTTGACGATAAGTTGTAGAAAATATCTGTGAGCAATGCTGAGAAATAACAATTTTCTGCTTTTATAGATATTGCTTTTGTGCCAAAAGCGCAGGTATATGCAGAAGTAAACAAATTTCACTGAATGTTTAGGGCTATTGAATTTTCACAAATGAAGCTAATAACATTAAATGACTTGACGATACGTAATATTCAATGATTATGATTGAAAAATGTGGATGGACATAACTTTCGGTGACTGTGAGTTGAGAAAGAGTGCAATCAAAGCCAGAATAAATTTTTAATGTATTTATTTTGACTAGCAAAATGAGTTTGGTTTGGTTTATGACTCAATTTATTGTAACCAGCGACTCATGAAAGATTTAAATCTTCACACTCATTCATGTGTATCAAAATAAATGAGAAAATGAAATGAACACGGAAATTAAAAGTACGTGTTAGATTTGGCAACTTCATCAAAATGATGATGATTGTAAGTACATAAATTAGTCTGTACAGACATATACAATTTTTCATCACTCGTACTCGGCTTGAGACGAAGTTAATCATACGGTAATAAAGTGAAATGTGTGTTACATATGGAAACTTCCTGTAACATCTTCACTTCTTTATTTTTACTTCTATCGATGATGACATCATTGTGTTAATGTGCCACAATCGTACACATGATTATTTTGAGAATTATAATGAGAATTGTGATGTGGAAAGTATCACATCATTGATAAATTTAAAAATAGAGTGAGACTCACACACATGTTTTGTGCCCTTTTATATTTAATTTACTTGAATTGTGTCTATTAATGTCAGATATTATTTTATGTGTCTATCAATTTGAATCAAAACGAATTTATTTTTATTTTACTCTATTTTAACTTCATAATTGAAATGCGCTTTGTTTGACTTTTGTGACACCTTTAAAACTTTCATTTAACTCATTTTTGATACTATCGACATCAGGTGTATGATACTCATGAGAACTTTTTGTCTTCTCCTTCTTATTTTTGAAAGATTAAATGTGTCTTATTATGTTCTCCATGTATACATTTTGAAGAGATGATTAAGTAATAAAAAAATGAAAAGACATTGTATTTATTAATTGGAATACAATAGTGAATTAATACATGAGATCTACACATTCACAAGTATAAAGAGAATCAATCTGTTTTAATGTCAGCATGTTCACAAGTTTTTTTTTTGCTGTATCTTGCATATTTATTTTTAAAAGTACATCGTTTGTATTGTTGGCGTATAGAAATAATTAACATGGTAATGAATTTATAGATTTATTCTGAATGTTGTAAAATTAATGACACCTCCAATCAACAATGCAGTAATTAAACATCGACAAAATAACGAAAAACTCTTTGAAAATCAATGTTTAGTAATTTATTGAGGGAGGAGATAAATTGAAAGGGCCATGAGCCACAAAAAATTTATTTAATGTCTGTTTTTGACTTTGATTTGCCACACACAAAAAAAAACACAAAATTGGTATACAAATGGAAATTGTTAACTTGTTGAATTCATTTAGATGCTTATTAAAACAAATGGCTGGGCATTAAGCATTCAAAAGTGATAAATGCTTTGCCAACAACATTAAACCAATGCTTTTTGCTCCTAATTGCCTTTAATAAAAATTTTCCAAATTATTTTCTATATTGTGTGGTACATTAAGTGCGGTAGCATGGCATGACCTCTATGAAATATCATTTAATTTATGCATTATTTAATCTATTAGTGATAAATACCTTATTTTGATTTAATTCCGCAAAATGAAAGTTGATCAATAAAATTATTTCACAATTCAATTGAAAATCAAAAATACGTAACACAAAATCTTTCCTCAATTTTTAATTGTTATACCGTTTCATGCATTCATAATATCGTTAAAGCCTTTGTTAGTTTTTGCCTCAATTTTCTTTTAAAATAATAGTGAATTCATAAAATCAACAATATTGTTAACAGCTTTGAACGAATTTTAATGTTAATAATCAGCCGGTAACAAGTTTTTTGATGCTAATTTTCAGTGGGATTCTTGTTAACAGAGTTGTTGTTACTAGGAGCAAAATATTACAAATTTTACGAACTTAATTCGTACTTAGGAGCGAGCTCGGATAAGATTGAAAAGTTGAGATTTATATCGAAGCATTATTTGGACACTGCAATTTTTTAAATAATGGACAAAAACTCCTAGCCCTTACTCTTAGGGGTCGTTCACTTATGTCATCCGAAAATAACGGTCATTATTCAAATATGAAAAATGGATTTCCCGGAATTTATATTTTTCTTTTGCTACGGACCTTCGCTCTCCGCTGGATGTCATAAGTGAACTGCTCCTTACTAGAAATAACTTAATTTTTAATTCTGAAAAATGTTGACTTATAAAATCAACTCTGATGTTTATTTCACCATTAATGTACTTCTTTTCGTACAATTTATTTAAATTATTACGAGACGGGTAAAACTGTAACTCTTTTCTAGAATAGCAGTTCTCTCTGAAAACTATTAAACGTCCATTAAATTTTAGCATCTATCAATTTTATTCAATAATAATAAAATAATCGAATTGTCTCAAGCACAAAAACATATAATGGATAACTAAAAGTAATGCATAGCAACGATATTAATCAATTGTTTTCAGTAGCAAATGATGTGTTGATATTTTCTACATCAGAAATTATCATATGTCATCATTGCGTGACCCTAAAAGAGCTATAATAAAGCGACTGGAAAACAAATAGCACTTAATTAAGAACGCGTGAATAAATGAAATTCACCAAAAGAATAAAAATTCATTTCATTCCATTATGATGTCAAGCAACTGCTCTCTCAAATAAAATGCTTTGTTAAAAAAAAGTAAAAACAAAATCAAACGAGAAATGCTTAAACGTGATATTATGAGCACAAAGTACAATGAAATGAAAAAAGCATTGCTTCGTGTAGGTTACGGAATTCTACAAACAAAAATCAGTCAATGTCACATGAATCTTGAAAAGCTGAAAGCATAAAATGCAAGTCACACAAGAATTCTGATTTCAGCACAAAATTTTGATTTTTTTCTAGTTTTGGGGTCAAGAAAGCTGCACGATAGAAAATAACAAACGACAATAAACATTTTTTTCTTCTTTTTTTTGGGTTAAATGGTTTGTACAAAGAGAATAGAATTCACACTACTTGTGATGCAGTAGGGTTAAAAAATGAATGTTTAAAAAACAAGATCACAAAAATAAAAGGAAAAATTCTTTAAATTTCTAAATAAAAAATCACATCATACATTTTTCACTGTGAGCTCTAGTCTTTTTCATAAATCGAATAAATTTTTGTTTCGTCTCACAGAGATAAAAAAAAATATAAAAAATTAACAACAGAATTTCACACTAAATTGTAAGAAAAAGATGTTTAACGGTGTCTTGCTCTAGAGAAAATATACAGAACATTAAATTGCAACATCAAAAATAGAATAATGAGGAATTGAAAATGTCCGCACTTTACTAGATTTATATGCTGCAAATTCTTTTCAGTGAATCGACAAAAATCTGTAAAAAAAAAGAAAAAAAATTGGAGTGAACAATAAAAATAAACACATCAAAAGAATTGATTAGCGTTGCTGCTGTTCTTTTTATTTTATTCTTCGACGAAATTCTTTCTCTAACTGTAGAATTAAACGCGTCTGCTTTTTGAACACTTGAAATAATTTTTTTATTCTTCTTTCGCTTCAATTTCTGCAACAGTTTACTTTCTTTTAAAAGATTCAACAGTGGCTGACGGAAATCTCGATTGAATGAGCAGTAGATAAAGTAAAGAAAATTTTTTCTGTTACATAAAGTATTTGCCAAAAAAATTACTGACATCAAAGTTAACATTTTTGAATGGTTTCAATAAGCTGTGACGAAAAATGAGGCTTACCATAAAGCTTTGGATAGAACCATGATTAATTTACTGAAATGTTGTGGTTTTTCTTGTAATTTCTTTCATTAGTTGATGAAAAATCGAAGCGATCTACTTATTTCAACTTTAATGAGTTTAATAGCGAATAATGACAGTTTCTGGTTCTGGTCGGATTAGTAAATGAATACAAAATAGAATTAACACCATTATTGGCAACAAATATTGAGTAGATAGTTGAAGTAACTAATAAGAAGCTATTTAAGTAACTTGAAAAACTTACACTGACAAATTTTAGTTGATACAGCAACATCATCCCACAAATTTACCAATTCAGTTGGCAATAGTTAAAAATATAGTAAGCCGGTGGATTGATACCGACTCTTAGATATATCGCATAATTATTCGAATAGAATTTATCTTGAAAAGTTTATTTATAAACACGTAAATTAAAATCCAGGAAAAAGTACTTGAATAAATAAAGTTGATGATTAAAGTAATTGATGGATGCAAGGTTTATGAAACCTAATAAAATGAGCACATGATTTTAAATTTGAATATATGCTAAGTGGCTCTTATTGTAATAAAAAATCCAGACATTCGTTAATATGCCATAATCTTAATATCAATTAATTTTGAGAACATAAATGGCTGGCGTAAAAATAAATTTCAATAACTTCAAAGATTTTCCCGAACATACAAAGAGCATGCTCAGAAAAGTGAGCATATAAGTGAGTCTACTCAAAAATTATACTCATGCAAGCTCATTCAACTGAGCATGCTCAGGAGTTCATTACGAATGTACTCACTTTATTTTTTTGCAAAAAATTTATAAGCTCACGTGAGTCCATTCAACGAGTGTATTCATGAGAATATTAAGATCATACTTATGTGAATACACTCGTATGAGTGCACTTACTGAACATTATCATGAGAATATTAAGAACATACTCAATTCTGTGTGACATAATTTTTTTACGTTCTCATATGAGTGCACTTACTGAACATACTCATGAGAATATTAAGAACATACTTATGTGAATACACTCGTATGAGTGCACTTACTGAACATTCTCATGAGAATATTAAGAACATACTTATGTGAATATACTCGTATGAGTGCACTTACTGAACATTATCATGAGAATATTAAGAACATACTCAATTCTGTGTGACATAATTTTTTTACGTTCTCATATGAGTGCACTTACTGAACATACTCATGAGAATATTAAGAACATACTTATGTGAATACACTCGTATGAGTGCACTTACTGAACATTCTCATGAGAATATTAAGAACATACTTATGTGAATATACTCGTATGAGTGCACTTACTGAACATTCTCATGAGAATATTAAGAACATACTCACTTCTATGTGACATAATTTTTTTACGTTCTCATATGAGTGCACTTACTGAACATACTCATGAGAATATTAAGAACATACTTATGTGAATACACTCGTATGAGTGCACTTACTGAACATTCTCATGAGAATATTAAGAACATACTTATGTGAATATACTCGTATGAGTGCACTTACTGAACATTCTCATGAGAATATTAAGAGCATACTTATGTGAATATACTCGTATGAGTGCACTTACTGAACATTCTCATGAGAATATTAATAACATACTCACTTCTGTGTGACATAATTTTTTTACGTTCTCATATGAGTGCACTTACTGAACATACTCATGAGAATATTAAGAACATACTTATGTGAATACACTCGTATGAGTGCACTTACTGAACATTCTCATGAGAATATTAAGAACATACTTATGTGAATATACTCGTATGAGTGCACTTACTGAACATTCTCATGAGAATATTAAGAACATACTCACTTCTGTGTGACATAATTTTTTTACGTTCTCATATGAGTGCACTTACTGAACATACTCATGAGAATATTAATAACATACCTATGTGAATATACTCGTATGAGTGCACTTACTGAACATTCTCATGAGAATATTAAGAACATACTCACTTCTATGTGACATAATTTTTTTACGTTCTCATATGAGTGCACTTACTGAACATACTCATGAGAATATTAATAACATACTTATGTGAATTTTAAAAATGTCGACCAACTTAAAATCGAACTTAGAATACATTTTTATATTAGTCGACATTTTAAAAAAATGTCAACCGACATAAAATCAAACTTAGAATACATTTTTATGTAAGTCGACATTTTCAAAAATGTCGACCAGCTTAAAATCGAACATCGAATACATTTTTATATTAGTCGACATTTCTAAAAAATGTCAACAAACTTAAAATCAAACTTAGAATACATTTTTATGTAAGTCGACATTTTCAAAAACGTCGACCAACTTAAAATCGAACAAAGAATACATTTTTATGCAAGTCGACATTTTTCAAAAAATGACCAACTTAAAATCGAACTTAGAATACATTTTTATATTAGTCGACATTTTAAAAAAATGTCAACCAACATAAAATCAAACTTAAAATACATTTTTATGTAAGTCGACATTTTCAAAAATGTCGACCAGCTTAAAATCGAACATCGAATACATTTTTATATTAGTCGACATTTCTAAAAAATGTCAACAAACTTAAAATCTAACTTAGAATATATTTTAATGATAGTTGACATTTTTTAAAATGTTATTTTTAAAAAATTGTCAACCAACTTAAAAGCAAATGTTGAATATTTTAGATATGTAATACAAAAATGTACGAAACTTTTTACAATTTTAAGTTTTCTGAAATAAATGTCAAGAGTTTCTCAAGGAATTAAATTAAAAATTACTTCGCTTTTAAAAAACTATAAGAATTAAGCACGATCAAAATCTTTTGGCTTTCATGGAACGAATATTTAAATTCATAAAATATTTTCAAAAAATGTCGACCTGCATAAAAACGTATTCTAAGTTTAATTTTAAGTTGGTCATTTTTTGAAAAATGTCGACTTGCATAAAAATGTATTCTTTGTTCGATTTTAAGTTGGTCGACGTTTTTGAAAATGTCGACTTACATAAAAATGTATTCTAAGTTTGATTTTAAGTTTGTTGACATTTTTTAGAAATGTCGACTAATATAAAAATGTATTCGATGTTCGATTTTAAGCTGGTCGACATTTTTGAAAATGTCGACTTACTTAAAAATGTATTCTAAGTTTAATTTTAAGTTGGTCGACATTTTTCATAATATGTTCTCACGATCGTGCTTTGATAAACTCAAATATTTCATAAAAATATAGTTCAATTAAGCAGCGTTTCAAACTTCAAAGAACTTAGTTTGCCTGTAATAATATAATAATTTAAGTATGTGTTTTGCCATACAAAAATTATTATATATTTACAGAAAATTGCTCCAAGGAAAAGTGTGAGGTGACAGAAGTTAAGCAACGCAATAGGTTTTTCAACAAGGATGGGTGACCGGTTTTTAAAACTTCCTTCTTAAGTATTTGAGATAAAATGTTAATAATAACTTCTAACTCTTCCAAAATTATTCACAGAATTATCCTTATAAAACTCAAATTTAACTTAATTAATTTTTTTGAATTTTGCGACTTTAACTGATTGCACTCATGAATGTGCTCAGATGAGCATATACTCATAAATAAACTCACTGAGCATATATCTTTTGAGTATCTTCATGAGTATAAGCTCTTTGAGTATGTTTATGAGTATATGCTCTTTGAGAATGTTCATAAGTATATTCAATAAAAAATGTTGCATTAAAAAACTGTTGCGTGTGGCATGTTGCCTTCTCATTTGAGTATGCTCATGAGTTTACTCATTGAGCTTAATGCATGTCACAAAGGAATGTGCTCACTGAGCATACTCAAAAAGGTACCGTGATCGCATCACTTTAATGTATGAAATGAGCACATTCTCACAAAAGTTTGCAAGCTCACAAATAATGTGCTCTGAGTATACTCATTGTATGTTCGGGTTTAATGGAACAATAAGCTTATTACCTCAATAATAATATTAAGTGCTGTATTTATTCTCTTCTTATAGAAACTTATCATGTCTTGAAAGACATGATTTTATTGCTTGTTAATTCTTATTTTAATGAACACATTTTTTCTTTTGTATAGAAGATCCTCTGATTTTTAGCTTTCAGCTGAAATTTTGAAATTGTATTTTAATTTGATCTTGAACCAGCAGCAGAACACTATAAATAAAGATGCAATGCAGAAATAGAAACAGTTAAAATTACCAATTTAATAAAAATCAAATTGAACGATGCAGCTAATTCCAGGTTGTCTTACTTGTTTCTTATGCAAAATATTCTCAATATCCTATCGTTAAAATTTTATAGAAGAGTAAGATAAGTAATTGATGCAACAACTCGCTGGTCAAGTGCATCGCAATCTTTCTATGATTATAGCCTTGAAAGAGTTGATTATACAAATAATTAGTTTCATTAATAACATCGCGGCTTCAATATCATTTTAATTTGAAACGTGTAAGTGAAGAAACAATGAACTATAACCACGTGAGCAATAATGATGTTGAATAAAGTTTCATTTATGACTGGAATCGGAAACTTGAAAATATTGATGCTGAATATAATTTAAGCGGGAAAAAGTGTTGCTGTGGTACTGCTAAAATGTTTATATAGTTTAAAATTCATTTCATTTAAATTGAAGGCTATTACTAGGGTCATAATTATCAAACCAGCTATGAGATTTTTACCAATATTGCTTTGGTTTTAAAAATAAATCTTTTAATTATTATTACTTAATTGTGATGCACAAATAATTTATTTACATCAGAGATTTCCAGCAGATTAAATACTCTAATTTTCTTCTTTTTCCAATAAATGGAAGTAAATCTTCTTTTCCGTCTGCATTATTCGATGAAATATTTCATTTAAATGTTCGAAAAGTGAGCTTAAAATGATGAGATTATCTAACCAAAGTTAGGTAAGATTTTAATCTGTTTAAATTGTATGGCTAATGATCAGCAAATGATGTATGAATAAAAGCAAATAATCTTTGAAATAATTATTGAAGACTAATCTGTTCATTGCATGAGAAGATGTTCAGTTTTTTTTTATCAAGCATGTCTCGTGATTCCTAAAAACTCATAATTGACCACTTGTGCACAAGATTTTTTAAAAACTTATATAACTTAGTTTTTTTGTTTATTGAAAATTGCTTGTTATTAAATCAGGAAATAACTTTTTTATTCAATAAAAAGCAATGCCTGCAGAAAAGCTAATAAAAACTGATGATACTGTAATTAAATTCAGAAAGAGGGACTTAATTTGAATACGACTAGAAATAGAAACAAAAGTAAAAAGCAATTACCATAATTAAAGATTTTTAAACAATAACCATACTGCGAATTGTTTTGGTTTTCATTACTTGTTGTCTTAGCAACTCTAGAGTTAAGAAAATGAATAGATAATTTAATTATAAATTGACAAGCAATGCAAACCAAAGATACACAAATTTCTTCAAATAAATATTTCATGTGTACAGCATAATCACTCGTTTAGATTCCAAAATGGAATAAATTTGAAATGCAATTGAATTTTCAGATGTGCTTAATTTTTAATTTACTCTCAAATGCATCAATGTTTATTTGCATTTCCATGAATATAAATTATGATTCATTGTGTGTAAAACCTTCAATTAAACTTGGAAAACTTCATCATTAGATTTTACAATGGTGATTTTATGAATTTTGATGATGGAACAACTTTTTCATGCTATAAATTTCCACAGAAAGTCGTAAATATAGCAGACAAATTTAATGTCATTTAATGTATATGCCAGAGTTCATGATAATTAGTCAACTTTTATCCGATTGACATTTTATTTATTTATATACTTCCCTCATAAACAAAAATACTCTAGGAAAATGTTCAGTAAATAATTTTTATTTGAAAGGTTTTTTTAATGATTTTTTTTTTCTGAAATAGCAAAAACATAAATATTACGAAATTGGCAGACGTTGCTTCCGTGAATGAATGATTTTCCCATTTTTTCATCTAATCGTTCATAACGAGAGTTTTTTCATCTTTTTACTACAAGAAAAAGAAGAGAGAAAAATTTAAGATGATTTGAGACTTTGCAATTGAAAATGAGACTAACAAATTTTTTAGTTTTGGCTTAATAAAACCAAGAATCTGCATAAAAACTATGACATATTATATATTTTCGGAAAGCTCTTGATTTCAGCTACATGAATTTTTAAAGCAAATTTAATTATATTAACAAGGGTTGGAATCCTAAGGGTTTTAAACTGTTGATCTACATACAATTTGGTACGTCACACTGTGCCCTGTACCTTAAAGTAAACAACTATATATTAAGTGAATTAGATTAACAAAATAACATATTAATAGACAACAGAGAGATTTTTTCGTTATCTTTCCTTGATTTTTTTTTATGAGTTATCAAACCTTGGTGATTTTTCTATCTGATTTTTTTTTAAAAATGCTCTAGCTTATCCAAATTTTCAAGTATTTTAATTATTTAAACGCCTTTTATCTTAGTTTTTATTTACCTTTATCTTGACGCTCAGAAAAAATCCAAGGGTTGGGCACTTTGTCAAAATAAAAAACCAACCCTTGGATTTTTTTATTATTTTTTATGTTTAAACTATTAAAACTAAGAACTGTAAACTGATAAATAAGTTATAATCATTATTTAATTAAAATAACTTTGTATTTTATCAAATCAACCCTCAATAAAACGGAAAAATTAAAAAAAAATTGTTTGCATTACATTAAATTTGTATTTAACGTTAAATTTTAATTTTTGTAAAAAATATTTTTGTTCCATTCATGTTATTATATCCATAATTCAAAATTTAATTGTAGTAAGGTAATGAATTTATCAAAATACTTAAAAAAAAATTTTTGATTTTTCCGTTTTATTGAGGGTTGATTTGATAAAATACATTCCGCCAATATAATTGATTCTGAAGCTTAAAAACTTGTAGGAAGATAATTTAGAAATCTTTTAAAGTTCTAGACATGAAAAAATGCGCAATAGCCAACATCGACACTACTTTTCTTATTCATTTCTCGCCGAATGAAAATAAAAATAAAACAATTAACGATTTTTCGATGATGAAAGTTCAAAAAGAGCAGTAAACAGTTGCGGATAAAGGAAATCAAGATAAAGGTAAATAAAAACTAAGATAAAAGGCGTTTAAATAATTAAAATACTTGAAAATTTGGATAAGCTAGAGCATTTTTAAAAAAAAATCAGATAGAAAAATCACCAAGGTTTGATAACTCATAAAAAAAAATCAAGGAAAGATAACGAAAAAATCTCTCTGTTGTCTATTAATATGTTATTTTGTTAATCTAATTCACTTAATATATAGTTGTTTACTTTAAGGTACAGGGCACAGTGTGACGTACCAAATTGTATGTAGATCAACAGTTTAAAACCCTTAGGATTCCAACCCTTGTTAATATAATTAAATTTGCTTTAAAAATTCATGTAGCTGAAATCAAGAGCTTTCCGAAAATATATAATATGTCATAGTTTTTATGCAGATTCTTGGTTTTATTAAGCCAAAACTAAAAAATTTGTTAGTCTCATTTTCACTTGCAAAGTCTCATATCATCAATTATAATTGTGAGATATTGTTTTTGAGTGGATTGTGGCATAGCCAGAAGCGTTGTTGAGTTGTTAATAAAATGATAAATTTTTTAAATTTCTTAGCTTAAATGATTTTAAATTAATTTTGGTTCAAAACGAATAGGTCCCCAGCTTCAAGTTCCATGGCTTATCAGAAAATTAGTTTTAAGCGAAGGAACAAAAGTTAAACCAATAAATTAATTTGTTTCCATCAGTGAAATGTAGATACAACTCTAATGCCGTTGATGTTTAATTGTAACGAAAATTCAAAAGAAAAATTCAGCCACAACTTAATGGAATAGTAGATGAGAATTTTAAACGGCTCTACAATGAGAAACACAATGCACTTCAAAATGAATTTTCATTTCCTAGTTGTCATAATATATCATTATATGTTTCCTCAAATGATATTCGTTTTGAGGTTTCATCTCAATTTCTATCACAAAAAAAAAAACTCTTT